GGAGGTGGAATAGTTTTTTGTGGTGGTTGCACAAAAGTACCTGCAGTAGGCTCGTGCGTCTGTTCATTGGCTGGCTCGTGTGATTTTCTCGTCGTACAGAAGAACGGGGGGCGGTCCATCATCAGCTAGCGAGGGGGGTGATAGTCATCGTCAGCCGTGAGAGGAAGGGTGCTATCCATCGTCATCAGCTAGAGAGGGGGGTGGTATCCATCATCATTCGCTAGAGGGGGGGGTGGTGTCCATCATCAGCTAGCGAGGGGGGTGGTATCCATCGTCAGCCGTGAGGGGGGGGTGCTATCATCAGAGGGGGGGGAGTGTCATCCATCGTCATCAGCTAGAGAGGAAAAAAAAAACGTTGGAAAATTCCCCGGCTCTCTAGCTGCTGCTGATTGTTTGAACAGGACGCTTCCGCCACCGCTTAGATAACAGCAACAGCAGCAGCAGCAGAGGCGACACACCCTCTCGCCCACAATGAGTGTAGAGAGGTGCACAGCACAGCAGTGGTACTACATCGTCTAGGAACGAGCGTGATGTGTTACTGGTCCCGTGCTGTGATGTATGTGTGCCTCTCTCCAGAGCAGAGTCAGAGGCCGCTCCCTCCCGCCGCGTCGCAACACAATAACAACAACCAACCGATGGACCCACAGAGACCCAATCAATATCTCTCCTCTCGCTTCCTCCGCCGAAAGCTAGCAGCAGCAGTAGTATAGGGCACACCCTGCTCCCGTCCCGCTCTCGCTGTGTGGTGTGTGCAACACACGCTGGTTGGTGGGACTCCCTCTCTCTCCAGAGAAAAAAAGGCGAAAAAAAGGCCGGCAGCGTTGAACAACAACAACAAACAACGGAAACAACAACAACAACATCATCAGCGATGAACCCCAGACCAACCAAACGTTCCCCGCTTCCTCCGCCGTCGCTAACAGCAGTATGTGTGTGTGTCCCGCCCCCCTTGTCCATGTTCCCTGTCTCTGTGTAGTGCGTGTCTTGCCAGTAGCAGCAGCAGTGTGTGCAGCACGGCAGTGCGTCGTGGTTTCTTGCGTGCGTGTAGTTTGTTGCCCAAAGACAAACAAAATTAACGCCTCCCGGGGATGCGTCCATGTGACATATATATTTGCACAAACGGTGTGCTATCTCGAGACACCGACCACGGATTGCAAAGGTAGCGGTTGGGACAGCTCGGGCAAAATGTTACTTGTTGTGCGCAAGTTTTAGTTTGCAATTTGGTGCCGAGATGGTGAAATGGGCTCGAGTCTGCTGGGTATTTAGGGCGCCCAGACCCCAGACACCAGACACCAGACACCAGACACCAGACACCAGACAGACACCAGACAGACAGCCATCGCGTAATTTTCACGCCTCTGTGCATGAAAATTATCCTTTTCTCGTGCGCACAGACTCCACACACGATCCCTCTAAACAGCTTTTTTTT